CTCTGGTCATCTCCTGTAGTACGTCTGCAGTCTCTGGTCATCTCCTGTAGTACGTCTGCAGTCTCTGGTCATCTCCTGTAGTACATCTTCAGTCTCTGGTCTTCTCCTGTAGTATGTCTGCAGTCTCTGGTCATCTCCTGTAGTACGTCTGCAGTCTCTGGTCATCTCCTGTAGTATGTCTGCAGCCTTTGGTCATCTTCTGTAGTATGTTTGCGGTCTCTGGTCATCTCCTGTACTATGTCTGCAGTCCATTGGTTCAGAATATTATTTTTGTGTTTTACTCCTCTAAAACCTAGGTGTGTCCAGGGGCGGACTGACCATTTGGAAACTCAGGCACTGCCCCAGGACCCGGGGTCAGTAGGGGGCCCCATGAGATGCCCCTGGTACCTTTTTCATAGGCTTTTTTGAGTTTGGGAAAGGACACAGGGGCTCCATAATCCCCTATTGCCCGGGGGCCCCATGAGTTGTCAGTCCGCCCCTGGGTGTGTCTTATGGTCAGGTGCGTCTTATGGAGCGAGAAATACGGTATATCTGAAAATCGATCAATCCTGATTTACTAATGGCCTATCTCATTTCTTGAGCCCCAAAAATGCCAGAATAGTACAAATATCCCCCAAATTACCCCTTTTTGGAAAGTAGACAGTCCAGTGTATTTAGTAAGAGGCATGGCAAGTTTTTTAGAGTTGTAAATTTTTTGTCACAATTCTTTAAAAAATGAAGAAATTAAAAAAAGATTTTTCCTTTACATATTGTCACTAGTGCAATTCTTTTTTATACAGTGTTACCATAGTAACATTTTACTACTCTGGGGAACTTTGTTTTCTTTTTTTACACCATGATTGCTTATACCAGTGAATTTTGCTGTTATAAGCAACCATTTTTACTGAATGAAATTGATTTATTCAGTGTTTACTATTGTGGTTAGCTGTGACTGGCCACAGCTAATCATATGGTACAGGTAGGCTGTGATTGGCCCTGTCTGTACCATGTGATCACTGTGACTAATCACAGAGATCAACACAATAGTACACAATGAATGTCATGAATGAAAGCCATCCATTGTGTACAGGGGCGGACTGACCAACAAATGATTTTTCTGTATTTCAATACAAACATTCAAACGAAAACCTAACTGTGCATAGCCAGCTATGCAGCTGGAGTGGAATTTTAAGCTGGCCATACACTAGCATATTTTCAAACTAAAATACTCATCAGTACATCCCATGACAAACTTCATATAAAAGTTTGCTTTCAACAATTGATTTTTGAATGAATGGACTTTCAGAATGAAAACCACATATACTGTTAGAAATCAGTTTGTTCAAGAAACATTTCCATCCTTCTCCTTTGGATTTTCTCCTCACCGGTGTTGAAAATAAATGCCAATTTGACCCATTAATGATTGGAAAGCCAGATGAATGTTTTTAAACTGAAAATGTTCAAACAAAATTCCATTAGTTTATGGCCAGCTTATGTTTGGGAAAGTTTAAATAATCATAATGCTTTTCTAGCATAACTGACAACCAAGCATCAACCCCAATACCAAAACCATTTTTTGTTGGTTGTTTTTGTTTGGACTATAAGCATTGTGAAGGTCTGCCTGATTCTGAATACTTTTCACAGTGTTTTTGTTCTTTGTAGTCACTCAATCAGTGTTCAGTTAACAATCAATCAAGCCATGTATCATCATCCTGCCAATTAAATTCTGTATACAGAAAGCATTACCATCCAGACATTCATTTACAAAAGAACAGTGATCACATACCAAAATCAGGCCCCTGTTATACTTAGTACTAAGTAATTGTACCAAGTAATGAGATCTGCAGCGTTTTGATCAGTATAACTAATGTAAAACACATTTGACCTTACTTATTAACATGCTGAAAAAAAAAAAACTGTTTCAAACATTCAAAGATGAACATATCCATGTATTTGCTTTCAGATATGCTAACCCACCAAGTTTGCCTATTAATAGCAGTCCCATTGTTCTTTACCCCAAGAGGCTGCAACGAACAAGGATGGACATGGATAGAAACATGCAGCTATGATTTGGGGACTGCATGCTGCTCAGACCACTGTGGACTGAAAACTAGAGGATTTGACAAATTCCCCTAGTGACCTAGTGGGAAAAGTAAAATTTCCCTGAACTGGAAAGTGACAGCTGCAGAATCTAATTGGTTGCAATGGGGCAATTCAAACTGTCAGAAAATTCTTCCATCAGGAATTGAGTCTAAACTCACGAGAGGTCCTCCTCATAAAACAGCTAGTTTGGAGAAGTTGATCCCTTTTAAACACAATGAGATGTATTTACTAAAGGATTTTAGAATAGTCACACAATAAATGGTGTGAAAATTGACTTTAATAATCCAAACTGTCAGTTGCACATCATTATAAACACTGAGACCCTGAGGCTTGGGTTCGGGTGCCCTTGATGTCCCTCTCCACTTCTCTTTTATTTCCTCTCTTGTTATGTTTCTGGGCTGTTTCGTAGGGACAATCTGGAAATTAAGATCTATTCCTATGTATTTTCCTGTTATGATTCTTGAACAGTGAAGTTTTCACAGTAATATCTTATCCATTTACGCCTGCTTTTGTCATACAGGCTTTTGGTTTTTCTCTTGTTACTCATACTGTTTCCATGTTAAAATGCTATTAATGTACCCTTGATATTACAAATGTTTGTTACTAGTTACAGTCCATGTATGTGATGTACTACCGCTCTTGACTGTCAATTTTTTGACTTTGTTGAAACTTCTGTACCCCACATCGGACAAATCTTTTCACAGTTCCTCAGCAGTCACACGGACTTTCTCTCCACTCTACTCTTCAGGTACGCACAGCAGTCTCTTATCAATATATCCGTTAACGGTAACAAATGTTTATCTTACAAACTGTATTTAAATAAAAATTTATTGGAAGGAAAATTAACTTTAATAATCCAGTCATGTGCAGATTAAACAGGGATTTTCTTTTCACATGATTAGATAACTGAAATGAATTGTCACTCATATTGTGAGTGAACATTCTCAAATCCGGTAGTAAATCAGCCTCTTTGTCTCTGATGGAAACCTGAATTCCTTTTTTTTGTTGCTTTGATCTGACTTCCTGTTGGAAGGTAAGTGGTAGTGATAAAGGGGCCCTGGATACTGATTTTCACAGGTTATCAAATGCAGAAAAAGTAATTACCTGGGCCCAATTGGCCTGTATTCAGCAGCTCACCACAAAGTTGGGGACCCCTCACCAGAGGACATTCACCTGAGTTCAAAAATCCATGTAAAAGGTCAAAGGGAGCATTATATGTAAAATCCTTAGGAGTCTAAAGCCTTTATTGTTCAACTAGTTACAGCAAGCAGAGCAAAAGACATCCAGTGTTTTTCAGGTAGAGGATGCAGAGGATGTTATAAACAACAGTAAGTGCTGATGTTCACAGTAGAATTGGCAAGGGACTTCCAAGGGAGTCATAAATAATACCCATAATGTACTGGTATGTAATATGTGTGTTATGTCCGTTTCTATTTGTTTCCTTTCACAGGGAAAATATAACATTTTCTAACATTTGATCCTAAGAGAAAAAAGCCTTATGGACATTTAACTAGAAAAATGAAAGAACATTCAACCAATAAAGTAAATACGCTAACACTAGGCTGAAAATATTTAACTATAAACAAAAATATTAAATTGTGAAGTCTCTGCATTATGTACAAAGTTTATGTACATAATGTGCTCTCTAGGGATGTGCTCTCTAGGGATGAGCTGCAGGTTCGGTGGATGGACAAACCAATCGATGGTTATCCAAGTAAACTTCCAGCTGTAATAGGAAGGGATACATTTAGCAGTGATGTTACTACCACTAATTGTGACAGTTTCCTGCTCACGACTTCTGTCATCAAAACAAATAATGACTCCCTGCCCACAAAACTATCAGCTGTTAGCCAGGAATTCTCAGCTAGGTAAATGTTAACAAAGCAGAAAGGATAAAAAAAGGACATTTAGGTCTGGTATGGATTTTAAGAGGGACCCCACAAAAAATAAAAATGCTAGGCCAAATAACCTCAACATAGGTGGGGTATGACCCCCCCCCCCCCCACCTGCAGACTCCCTCAACCAACAGGTCTTTGTTCTCATCAACATCGGGACAAGGTGCTTTGCCAGGGGCGATCCTGCTGACAAGGTACCCACCACACGTTGACAAAATGTGGCCTGGTAAGGTTCAGAAGGAGGGGGCATGTGCTTACCCCCTATTTCCTGACCATCCTGGCTGCATGCTTGGATAAGGGTCTGGTGTGGGAACCTCATGCTTTTTTTTTTCTTGCTTTTTGCACGGGGTTCCCCGCTAAAATGCATACCAGACTTAAACACTATGGTATGGAATTTAGAAGGGACTCCACAATTTTTTTGGTTTTTTTTCATAGGGTCCCCCCCTTAAAATCCATACTAAGCCCTTCAGTTTTGGTGTGAAATTTAGGGGGATTCCACAATATTTTCTTACACTATCCTTTGATTACATTCACCTGTCAGCTGAAAATATCTAGCTGTAAATACTGTAGGGCTCTCTGATAAATTAAGGATGGTGCTGCAGTCATATACAAAGAACACTGGGCCTAATTTATACAGGGTTAGCTGTTCAAAACTACTCGCACCTAAATTACAAAACTTTCACATAACCAAAAATAATATTTTATGATATTTCTTTTCTAGATCTGAGTATGTTGTAAAGTCAACAGAGGTCATAAAGACTGAAAAATCCAACAACTTCCTCGAAGAGGTAAGGCTAAGAACTTATTTAGACTGCTAATATCCCATCTAATTACGATGCAGAAAAACACAACATATTGTTCACATAAAGCATACCACCCCAGTTTTATCAACCCTTTTCATTAACTTTACCTTTACTATACAATATATTGCCAAAAGTATGAGGACACCCCCCTCCAAATCAATGGATTCAGGTGTTCCATTCACCTCCATGACCACAGGTGTATAAAATCAAGCACCTAGGCATGCAGACTGCTTCTACAAACATTTGTGAAAGAATGGATCACTCTCAGGAGCTCAGTGAATTTAAGCATGGCACAGTGATAGGTTGCCACCTGTGCAATAAGTTCATCCATGAAGTTTCCTTGCTACTAAATATTCCATGGTCAACTGTTAGTGGTATTATAACAAAGTGGAAACAACTGGGAACAACAGCAACTCAGCCACCAAGTGGTAGGCCACGTAAAATGACAGAGCGGGGGTCAGCGCATGCTGAAGCGCACAGTGCGCAGAAGTTGCCAACTGTCAGCAGAATCAATAGCTAAAGACCCCCAAACTTTGTGTGACCTTCAGATTAGCACAACAGTGCATAGAGAGCTTCATGGAATAGGATTCCATGGCCGAGCAGCTGCATCCAAACCTTACATCACCAAGTGTAATGCAAAGCGTCGGATGCAGTGGTTTAAAGCACACCACTACTGGACTCTAGAGCAGTGGAGACGTGTTCTCTGAAGTGATGAATCCTGCTTCTCTGTCTGGCAATCCGATGGAAGCGTCTTGGTTTGGCAGTTGCCAGGAGAACGGTACTTCATTGTGCCAAGTAGAAAGTTTGGTGAAGGGGGATTATGGGGTTGCAGGGGCAGACTGACCATTTGGAAACTCAGGCACTGCCCAAGGGCCCGGGGTCAGTAGGGGGCCCCATGAGATGCCCCTGGTACCTTTTTCATAGGCTTTTTTGAGTTTGGGCAAGGACACAGGGGCCCCATGATTCCCTATTGCCCGGGGGCCCCATGAGTTGTCAGTCCGCCCCTGGGTGTGGGGTTATTTTTCAGGGGTTGGGCTTGTCCCCTTAGTTCCAGTGAGGGGAACTCTTAAGGTGTCAGCATACCAAGACAATTTCACGCTCCCAACTTTGTGAGAACAGTTTGGAGATGGCCCCTTCCTGTTCCAACATGACTGCGCACCAGTGCACAAAGCAAGGTCCATAAAGACATGGATGAGTGAGTTTGGGGTGGAGAAATGCGATTCTGGAAGAATGGTCAAACATTCCCATAGAAACACTCCTAAACCTTGTGGACAACCTTCCCAGAAGAGTTGGAGCTGTTATAGCTGCAAAGGGTGGGCCAACTCGATATTGAACCCTACAAACTAAGACTGGGATGCCATTAAAGTTCATGTGTGTGTAATGGCAGGCTTCCCAATACTTTTGGAAATATAGTGTATTTGAAAAAATGTTTAGCTCATAATTGAGTTAATAAAACACACAATAGAAATTGGTATAAAGTAAGAGAACATATCCAATAGAAGCAAACAGGATAACAGTTACTGGTACTAATAATGACAGGATAGTCTCTGAGTACTCGGTAGGTGCTGAAATTAATTAAGCCAGAATGAGGCCCTAGGCAAGTCAGCAACTTTGACACCCCAATCATTTAGACTGATATTAAAGAGGATTGCAATAGACCAAATAATCTGCACCATTTGCATTGCCTATACTGGCATGGCCCCATCACATACCAACAGCTTAGAGCTTTCATAGCAACCTGAGAATACGGTACATAGATTTGACCAATTGTCCTATCCCCAGGTTTACTGCATATAGGAACATAAGGGTTGTTGACTGACCCCTGGACATCCATCAGAATTAGGCTCCTGTCTATGTTTCCTTGTAGATGATGTGGCTTTGCTATGGAGGCAAGAGTAATAGAAATACATGAACCCAACTGTTATAGCAAACTTCTATTGAAATCACAGTATCCTAACTTGAAAACCTTCTGTTACTGCAATCCAGAGCTAGTTACAATGAATCAAAATAAAAGCAGTCAAAAAACCCAGAATCTCTAACATACAGTACTAGTTACTTATCAGCAGTACTGCCTTGAGACCCTACAGGGGTCCTCTTGTTAAGGACTAATGAACCTCATAATAGTGAAGATTTTCAACAACAGTCATATGAAGTCATGTGACATAATTTGTCATGTCACATGAGCAAGAGGTGGAAAAGCACAACGCTGGTGCAGATCTGTAAGTATGAGTGATGCGGCTGCATAACAACCACAAAGAGTTTCCCTGGCCCTTTAATTTCCATATCAAAGGTAATTCCTCTAGTGAAATAGATGGTAGTTGATTTCATGGATATCATATAGAGATTAATGAATTATATTGATTTTTATTCATATTTATTTCCCAAATGCTATTGCTAAATAAAGCATTGCATAGGCAGAGTTTAGAGCTCCCAGTGCTCCTGGGCCCCATAGTAGTTGTGTGATCTGTTATGACAATAGTTTCGAACTTGCACAGTTGGCTTTGGCGTATCCAGTGTACACATCACTGCTAGATTTTCAATATCAAGAGTGTGTGAGATTCACTGGCGGTTGCTCATACCTAGAGCTCAATGAAAAGCACCATTCTTTCCCTAGCTGCAGAGACAAATCATAAATATGAAATTATTTTTGACTTACTGATTTTCCATTTTGATTAAACATACAAAAGATGGATATAAGAAAATGGTATAAAAGCAACTATGCATGAATTAGTGCTGTGTAAGGTAAGCTTTCTTCATCATTACTATTGCCCATTTACAATCATTTAGGTGAGTGTCTCAGAATGAATGCCAACACAAGTGCATAATTAAATGAATCTATACACTTCATCTACCTCAAAGCCATAAAATTGCGTTATTAGTCCCTCTATTAATTCTTTTGTTGATAATTGGGCATGGCATATAGATAAGGCAATTTATAAGTGCTACCTACAATAGAGATGCCTAATGAGAGCAGCTGAGTACTGAGATTAACAAATTAAGCAGTTTTCCTTTGATACCCATGTAAAAGTGTTTTGTTGGGGACTGAATAGACAGACCTTTATTCCAGAAAATTCTGACAAGTCTGCGCTCCTTTCAGCTTGCTCTTTTTGTAGAACAAAGAAATGAGAGGGGAAAAAAAGACCTTAAAGAAGAATATCTGGAGCAGGAGGAAAACAGACAGCACTGGAGAAATCTGCATTATATAACAATTAACCAATGTCTAAGCAAGTAAGTAAAAGGCATTTATAGCAATATACCGGAAGTGAAATGGATTTAGCATCGCTCATTGAATAATAATTTGATTACCAATTTATCCAAACTATCTTTTAATAAACAAGTTCTTTCTATTAAAAGACATAAAACTTTACCTATATAACAATCATTTTTCCTTTATTGACTCTCTGTCACAAGGTATTTCCCATCTATCCTCTTTCCATGGCAATAGTTAGCAGACACAACTTTCCCTCCCCTTATGCTCTGCTGTACCTTATTTGAACCTTAGTAGAGTCTCCATACTGCTTGAGGTGATTGAACCTGTATTAGTGCACTTGCGATAGAAACTGGCTGTGATACTTTATTTATTTGCACTAACATACAGCTTTTTCAGGCCTGTATGTTAGTGCAATTAAGAAAAAGTATCATGGACAGTACTCGCTTGTTTCTTGTGGCTCCATAGACTTTTTAGGGGAGGACCAGGGTCGGACTGACAACTCATGGGGCCCCCGGGCAATAGGGGATCATGGGGACCCTGTGTCCTTGCCCAAACTCAAAAAAGTCTATGAAAAAGGTACCAGGGGCATCTCATGGGGCCCCCTACTGACCCCGGGCCCTCGGACAGTGCCCGAGTTTCCAAATGGTCAGTCCGTCCCTGGGGAGGACTACTTAAGTTCAAACAACAAAGCTGGAGACAGGAGCCCATGAGCAGCTTGTAAGCTATTGGAAGTGGGTCTATATACATTTTTATTACATACACAAATCCCTCATGTACAATTAAACATTTAATATAGAGCACTGTCATAATAGAGTTTGTACAGAGTGTGCTGGGATTTCTAACAAGAAAGTCCAGTCCCACTAGCTCTGCATTTGTGAATTGCTGCTGATATCAGCAATCTAGATTAGTACTATCTCTATAAACAGAAAGGAAGGTGTGTATGTCCTCCATCTGAGACAATCATCCATGTTTGTCTGTTATATTTTATTATTCTTGTTATTTAGATCTGTTCACAATACAGGCTATTCAAAGCAGAACAAAAAAATCAGTCTTGGAGTACTATCCTTATACTAGTCCCCTGTTTGCCTCCAATGATAAAATTGAAACAAAAGCCTATTTTATTTATCTAATCAGTGGTCATGGGAGCATGCCATGTCCCAAGTCTTGTCTCTTAGGCAGGCCATAGACGAGCTGAAAACCAAACAAAAATTTTTGGTTGTTCATTTTTTGCATCATTAGTGTACCAGCTGTGACATGTGATTTTCATTTTGCAATCAAAAGTGCCTGATCCAACATGCTAAATTTTGTTTAGAAAACCGAAACAAATGATGGCACAATTGTATGCACCATATTCATTTTTGAATCGACAAAACATTTGGTTTTCAAATAGTCTATGGCGGGTGTAAGTGCAGAGTGGAAGGGTCTGACTGGGTAACATTGACAATTCTTGGCCATCTAGTAGCAGGGGCCTCTCATATCTTAACGACTGCAGTGACCCGATGATCTAATGACAATGGGACCTTGTCAGGGGTGGAAAAAGTCTGCAATACCAGATAGCTGGTCTCCAGTCCCAGAAAAGGCGTCAGTGGTAGAAGCATGATGGAGAGACATAAACTGAATGAAGCACTGTTTAACATTGCCGGATGATGGGAGCATCGGAGAAGGGTGGGCACAAAAATTACCCAGAGATAGGCTTTAAAGCAGAACTAAACTTTTCTATCCTTTAGCTTGTGTTCACATCTGTGCAGTGCACTTGGGGTGAATTTTACATGAGCTTTATGTGCGTTACCATTAAATGCTATATACCATGCGTTTTATTGAAAGTGCATCAAAGATGCAGCTAGCAGGATTTTTTTAACACTCAGCACCTAAAGCATATGGAAAACACACAGGTGTGAAAAGGGCCTTACAGCCAAGGAAGCTGACATCACAACCTCTGTTTTATCTGCAGTTACCATAGTGCTGCACATGTGATCAGTTATGACACCAACCATTTGACAGCTTGACAGTTCAATTAAGAGTACTAGCACCACCTGTGACAAGTATACAGGGCATGCCTCAAATGTAACTGTTTTTGGGAAACAGTTAAATCAATAGGGTTGGTTCCATTTCAAGCTGCAATTCTGAACATTGTTCCAGAACAGAAACCTATGGTTTAGGACACAGTATGTGCATAGAGGCTAAGAACTTACAATGAAAAAAGCTGTTTTTTATGTTTAATGTTGCAAAGAGCCAAATAGGTGGAAACATCTCTATGGGAGCAGTGCTCACAAAGTCTCAGATCACACAGAAAGATGAATTAAGCAAACTTTCTGCGTAAGAGAACAGTATAGGTAGACAGGTGACAAAGCTTCATATATTTGGTATACTTCATATACTTGCCTGTTATTATGTATATGCCACAGATGGTATACTGGTGGACAGCAAAGTCAGCTACACTCAATTTGACTGGCCATCAGGACAAAGACCCCCAGTAGCTCCAAGGGCAGAGTTCAGGATACTCTGGCTGCATGTACCCTGATGTTAGGGAGGTATTCCAAAGAAAATATATATATATATATAATACACAATGATAAAAAATGTGGTGCTACAACCCATCAAACAGAGCTGTACTTGTTCCTGGACCGCAGCCTCTTAAGCTGTCCCTTTCATTTGTACAAAACGTCTGGAAACACAATATTAAAGTTTAACATCTTCTTCTTTATTATACAGTGCACTGAACAAAGTTAAAACAATCTGACACAAAAAAGGTTGATGCGTTTCATAACAAAATATACAAGTGGAAACTCAATAAATGACTTTCACCTGGGCTCGGGGCGGAGGTGGCAGAACCGAAGGGATTAAATCAAGGATTAAAACTTACAAATAACAACTATGAATGAAAAAATCAAATAAACATAAACAATATAAAATAAATATAACCAAAAACAGAAAAGAAAATTAACAGGAGATAAATAAATATATATACAAACATAAATATACAAATGAAATAAAAATAATTAAAATGGCTAATGTGAGTAAAGGGAAAAACATATTTTGATCACAATGGGAAAGGAGGAGAGGTCAGTAGAGGTGCAGGTCAAGGTCCAATGAGGTCATCCCCGCAGAGTTTGCTATCCCTTATAATTTCTTGCTAGGAATTTTAACTCATTCTTCAAACTGAGGCCATATTTCAGTTATGAGGACTAAATCCATCATTGGCCTCTTTCCTTTACTCTACCAGGCTGAAGACACCTTGTTGTGAAATATCATAGAGTCTGACTGTCTTTGTTGTAGAAAGAGAAACCTCAATATTCCTGCTGCATTCTCCTTTTTTGTAAAACAAATGAAAAATTGAGATATGCAGCAAGTACACAGAGCTGGGAACTCTCAAAGATGGCGTCACTGACAAGTAAGAGAAGCCAATAAAATGTTCCATCTTCCAATATACATCCATGACTAAACTGTCATTTTGGGTGGGCTGATTCTTTAAGTTAGTATATATCCATATAACCGTAATCTAATGCTGTTTATTATGTTCAAAATTTTGGCTGACAGTCTTAAAATGCAGCAAAGAAAATTCAACTGAAGAATATTAGCTAGTAGTACCTACTATTAGCAATTTAACTAGCATAACACAAATCCAGATAATGACATTAGTAAGATGGGTCTGCTGCAAAGCAAAGGACTTAATGCCTACTGAATCTATCAACATCACAATGGAATGTATACCTGCAATGCACTCTGAACAGTAGTCTTTGCTTTTATCTAATGTCTCCTTAAATTGTGGTACTAAGATGCTGCCATGCCTCTTAATAAAATATTTTTCTCAGTCTGTTTCATTGGTGTGCAGAACAAAGTCTTATGCTTGGCATTAAAAGAATGATGAATGGTAATTGGTACATTTTGTTCTGTTTCTAGGCCTTGGGTTTCAAGCTACTTTAGACATATCCCGCTGCGTATTTATTGCCTGCCTCTAGGTAACAGACCACAGCTACAGAAAAAAAAGAAGAAAAGATGACTGGAGCTTGATCACAATAAAAAAAAGTAACAGAAACATATTTTGGAATCTTTTGCACACAAATGGATAATTGTATACACATCCTGTCCTACAGCATAGAATATCAATATAGTCCTTTTGAGCAGACCATCCACTTATCATTAATAAAAAATCCATGAGACCATATAAATTGAGTTGACGTTATAGCTTTGTATGACTACTGGCAAGTTCTAAAAAGTGTTGTCTTTTTATGCAGTATCTCGTGCCAGTGGTGAGATATTCTTACCTGAATTCTATGTTCCATCCAGTTATCTCAGCTTCTGAAAAGTCAGCTGATGGTGTCACTCTTTCCTGAGAGATGTGAGTGTGACACATTTGTAATTACATTGTTGCAGGGGGCATTGCCACATGAGGGTGGGGGGGGGGGCTATTTATATATGTATTCACACAGGATTCACACATCTTTCATCCAGGAGTTGAGTATTTTCCTTATTGGTTTCATTTGGAAAAATGCGTGAATCCTGGGTGAAAACATTGATAAGTACATCTCAAAAATGTGGGCAACTCTTTCCTAGGGAGCCTGAAAAATCTATGAGTAACCAACAGATTATTTAATTATTTGTTGACCATATAAAACTAATAAACCAGTAATAGTTAGAATAAATCCTTTCTGTTTTTAGTTGATAAAAAATAATAAGTAATAAAAAAAAAAGATAATAATCAAATTTCGTACATATCAGGGCTTTCCCCAAATTCAAGTACCCATGGTGACATCACTCTTCAAGTCATGTCAAAATGCTCAGGGCTATTGAATGACTGCTAAGCCCAGGCACCAGTACATAAAGGCATGTCCCATACCCAGAAATGGCAGATATTGTTGATGTGTGTGGAGGTAAGGTGAGGATATGGAGTAGAGGCATGCCCTTTCCATTTTACTAAATTGAAAAGCAGAGGCAATATCAATTTGCACGCAGGCATTGTTTGCATTATATGTCAATAGGTTTGCACTATGGGAAATGTTGCATCCAGTCATATGAAGTTTTTGGTGAATGAGGGCACTTCTAATAGTGGATAAATTAGAAGCCTATTTTCCCTTCTGCTGGTAGTTGGAAAAACAAGGTTTGTAATATACTGGGGGTTGTTTACTAAAACTGGAGAGTACAAAATCTGGTGCAACTCTTTATAGAAACCAATCAGGTTTTATTGCCAAAGCTTAATTTACAAGCTGAGGTTAGTAGCCGCTTGGCTACTATGCACAGCTGCAGCAGATTCTCGGTGCACCAGTTTTAGTGAATCTACCCCACTGTGTTCATGGCAAAAATGTATGTGTTAACGTGCTGCGTGTTGACATGTATTAGATGCACTCAACTCTGGATTTAAAGTGGTTGTAAACCCTTACCTATACCCATTGAAGTGACTGGCCTCAGGTTATACACAGAGATGAAACAAATCCAAATTATACCTGTTTATTTGCAACCATTTGTCCGTGCATCCATGTAAAACTCAGAGATGAAAAGTATTTTTCACAAACTCACAAAGCAGGAGGTGGGAGCTGAAGTTACACAGTGTACAAGAGCTCTGAGAGCTGATTAGAGGGAAGGGACACCCCCCCCCCCTTTCACATAGCACACAGGAACAGAGCTTAGGTTGTCTATCAACTGGTGGTCCCCTCCCCTGTCACCTTTTTAGCTCTTGGTGTCAGGAAAAACTTGTCAGAAGTGACTCATGCTAATAGCAGCGGAATGAGACAGC